TCGGCCGGCTCGCTAGGCCAAGGTCCGTTCGAGACCCGGGGCGGTTCCTCGGCGGTTGGCCTCGTGGCGACGGCACCTCAGTCTGAGCGGCGGGCATGGCGTGGGACGCCGCGTGCGTTATGCCCTCTTGTCGTGGCTGGGCATGGCTGCAGCTGGCAAGGTTCGCGGGCGGCGGACGATGTGCCTGCGGGCTGAAGCAAGAATTAGCTTCTTCCGATGTCTGGCTAGTGCATTGGGACTTTGCCGTTCTTGGAGACTTTTTGCCCCAATTCATTGTTGCCCTGACTCAGACTCAGAGACAGAGACAGAGAGCAGGACTCGGCAGTGGACGGTCTAAGGTAGATGCGGAGGGTTTTGCAGACACCGAGAGACACTAGGGATTTGATGAAGTTGAGGCTGGCAGCTGCTGATTCAGTTGAAGCTTGAGGTCGGCTGTATGTTCATTCGAGCTGCCCGTTTCAAGTCGAGTCTTGAGCCCAATGTTACCGAAAGAGCAACTTGAAAGTTTGGTTGAACCCTGGCGCCGACGCAGAAAAAGGGACGGACGCACCAGTGTGTCCTTGTTTGGGTACTCTTGCTTCGTATCAAAGGTGTGGTCGATGTCGTGGGGTAAGGTAAACGCTCCCTTTCTGCAACTATTCGAGGAAATGATGAATAAGGGCCTAAGGTGGTGTAATTGCGAGAAGACGTACCTTGCGATGAAGCACCTTAGTCAGCAGCAACTGGGAAAGAAAGAACAATCGTCTTTCCTTCTCTTGCTGAAATTGGCCGTGAGTACGTGCATGTGTACATCTACTGAGTACATCTGTATAGACGGAAGGAGCACATAGCTGAGCGCACGCATGAGGTTCCCTCTCTCCTCCCTAATTTGCCCTCTTGTCTGCTTCGTCGCGGGCACTCCGACCGCGCCAATGAGACCTCGTCAGGCCCAGAAACACATGAGAGCTCACGTGTAGGTATCCATCCGTAAGTACTCCGTACCACTACGTACATACGTACCTTGCGGATATTTCCACCTCCTTACACATGCACCGTCGTATATTCGTACTGCAACATGCAACATGCAACAGCTACGTCGATGAGGTACCTCACCAAACCTCACCTTTCTTTTGTTACCCGCGCAGAGACCGAGGGCCGGGAAGCGCCTCTTCAAATACCCTTAAATCTATTTCAAAGACACAGAGTCCTATTCTGTTGGATTTCAGTGGACAGCCGCGTCACAAAAGCAAAATGGAAACGGCCCCAGTCATCCATTGACGACAAGGGGAAGAAACAAACGGTCGCCTGTTACAGGTTCCCATCTGATGGGCCCTTTCCCTCTCATTCGGATTTCCTTTGCTCGTGTGCTCTCTCTCCCGTTGACCTCACTGCCACCACCGCCGCAATGTGGCTGGAGGGAAAGTGAAATGGCATTTGCCATCTCGTACCTATCCCAAGTCAAAGGAGCCAAAAGTTCGAACTAAGAAAGATCCAGCGGTGACTTCATCTCCATCTTTTGGCTCGCTTCTGGAAAGCTCTTCCTCGCCTTCTCGACCAGAACCATCCGAAACCTGACGCCTCTTTGTCTCTTCTTTTCTTTCCTTCCCGGCCCCGGGCAGGATTTTGCTTTGCTTGTTTGCTGATCGCGCTTCACTTGCGGCTTGTCTGGGAACCTGGTCAGGTTCAGGCTTCCATTGACATTATTCGCGTCTTGGGATCGGTCTGTGGCTGTCTTGTCGTTGCTTTCTTTTTCCACCAAGAGAGTCTCGGATTCTCTAATCTGGGGAACGGGCCAGTTCTCGCAAGGGCCCGTCTCTCCCCTGTCCTGTCTTGCAGTGCTACTGAGGAATGTCACGGTACCATGGCATGTACATGCGGCGTAATGGGGGGGAGACTTGGAATAGAGAGACAGACAGACAGATAGACAGACAGACAGATAGACAGACAGACAGATAGACAGACAGACAGACAGACAGATAGACAGACAGACAGATAGACAGACAGACAGATAGACAGACAGACAGACAGTGAGAGGAAGCAACGAAGAAAAGAAAAGGGAACATTCAACCAACAGCAGGCTCAGGGTGTCTCGGTTTGCTGCAGGAGGTTGCGTTGCTTTGCGGCGTACTAGCATCATCCCATCGTGCATGCTCCCTGGCTTAGAATGAGGGGCAAACAGGAGTTTCTCGCTCTCTTCTGGAGACTGGGCCTGGAAGGCTGGAGGCTGGTTCTCTCTGAGATTCTGGGAGAGAGAAAGAGAGATGACTGAGAGACTGAACCATCTTACTCGGTCCATGATCCCTGCTTCGTTGCACAAGCCTGTCGGTTCCCACTTTCGCTCCCACTCCGACTCCCACGTCCATTCCCATTGTGTTTTCCCCCCCTGCCATTCGCAAAGCAACCCGCTCACCCACCTCCCACTTTGCAATTCCAAGGCACGAATAGAACAACGTGAGAAGAGATGGAGCGAAAGACTGAGGTGAGGGGAGTGAGCCTGTGAGGTACTGTCATTACTGGAGATGCTCTACTATCCCGTAGCATGCATCAAAATGTACGTGGTCCGCACATGCTAACTCAGAGGGAAATTCTCACCCGACGGATCGGCACGCTATCATGAACCTCGAGCAAAAAGCAAGCTTGCACTAAGCTGACCTAACCTTAGTTGACCTACATTACCGATCCGATCCTGCGTCCATCCCCATCCTGGCCCGGCGTCTTTTGCGTTCCTTTGCTTTTCTTGCCATGCAGAAGGTAGGTATCCGTAGGCACGTATTTTAGTTGGTAGTAGGGTCCCAGCGGCGGAGAAAGTAGCCTCGGCGCCGTGAGTCGAGCGACGGGAGCCCCCAAAAAGCAAAAAAGTACAACTTCAACAACGCCGGGAACCCAATTCCACATGACAACGCGGACCGGCGTTGCGTCCATTTGCTCACAGACACGAGACGGGCAGAAGATATTGATCATGGTCCAAGTGGTCGCCGACACTAGAAGGCCGGCTTTCTCTTGAATATGGCCTGATGGGCATTGCGGTACATAGTAGCGTACTTTTTTTTTCTTCTACGGAGTACATCAAGAAGATTGCCGCAAATGTTCGGTCCATTGGGCAGGGCATCGGAAATGTAGCCGTGTCTCGCCCACACCTTGGGTTCGCGGCAAGCACAAGACCAAGGCACAAAGCACGCGAGCGAGGTACCTTATCGCGGTAGATGCGGTAAGGTTATGTGGATGGCACACGTACCGTCCGGAGCGAGCTATCGTGGTGTACTTTGCTACCTATGGATTTTGCCTGGCCCTTGGCCCTGCCTTTTGCCTTACTTTTCCATTTCATAGGTTGGGCTGGCCAGCCCGGCCTAGTCTGGCCTTCACCGCAAGGCAAGGTAAGGTAGGACACGGCACATGGAATTCTGTGGGATACCATCCGTACCATTTGTTCATAACTTCGTACTCCGTACCCCCCACCGGGAGTCAGTGCTTGGGGGCGGCTTTGGATTTGTGACATGACAGCACAGGACAACGACGTGGCTGCTTTTTTCTTTCTTTCATTCTTTCTTGTTGCCGGCGGCGGTTGAAGTTCTTCTGAGGCGAACTGAGGTGGTCCAGCCTTATTGCCTTGCCCTGCCTCGTTGCCCCTGGAGTAACCAGATAAAGTTACTTGAGCGATGGAATAGGATGGGAAAGGTGTACGGATACCTGATGTTGTAGACTTGTGCTTACCGCTTGTCAAGTAAAGTACCTTGATTTTTGTAAAGATTCCGAGGAGAAAGTGATGGCAAGGTATTTGCAAGTCTATGTTCTTCTTGTCTGGTTTCTCGGTCCCGTCCTGGCCAAATTGAAATTCAGCCCCGGCCTCAGCGTGAGGAGGAAAAGACAAAAAGTAGAATGAGCCTCCTTTCTTTTCCCTCTTTTTGTGTCTTTGGATCTGCTCTGCTCTGGCTTGAGTCTATTTTCTGTTTCCATGTTCTCGTCCAGTCAATACGGATTTACCTGAGAGAGATATACATACATACAATCTTTACCTTCCATTGCATACACAGTCAAGAAGGCATAGTACAGTATCCGGCGCACCTTTTTTTTTTTTTTTTTTTTTTTTTGCCGTGATTCTGGTACTTTGCTGTACCTTGGTTTCTGAGCCCCTGGTCTTCCCGTCTTTCTCCCACCACGCCCGTGTCGCTCGCTCGCTCTCTCTCTCTCTCCCTTTTGGGGGTACCCTCGACCTGGTCTGGCCTGTCCTCCCCTCTCCCCCCCCCCCCCCCCTTCCCCCCTCCCATTCATTCATTCAATCCTATCAGGTATCCTATCCCCATTGCCCCTTCCCTTCTGTATCAACCCTCCCTCCCCCTTCTGTTGCAGCAAGCAGGTCCAGACACACACTACCTACCTACCTGACCTACTCGTACCTTACTCCGTACCTACTGGATAGCGAGCAAAGCAAAGCAAAGCAAAGCAAGCACCCTCTCAGACAGCCCTCTTCTTTACTTTCCATTGTGTCTGCAAGGTATCCATCGGTACTTCCTGTATTACCCTGGGCCCTGGGAAGGAAGAGAGCAACTTGAGCAAGTAACCAAAAGTACGGAGTACCTCACAGAGAGTACAAGGTCCCCGATTTTGACACCGTCCTTCGAGGCAACTGGCCCTCTATCCTCCCTCGCACCCCTGTCACCCCGTGCCAGCTGACTGCAACGGACTCCACTCCTATCTATCTGCCTCCATTTCTGTTGCCGGCGCTCTTTCTCTTGTCTCTCTTTCTCGCTCCTTGCTATTTTGTTCCTCTCGTTTTACGCATCCGCCCCGAATTCCCATTTACCGCTCGCCCTCCTACATCCGCGTCCTTTCCCACGTACACACGTTCACGTCCACCACCTCCACCACCACCACCACTACCGCCGCCGTCTCTTCGTCCCAAAATTATTCACCGCCCCCCGTTTGGATCATGGTGCGCTCGAGTCGTCACCTTTTCCCGTAAGATCGAATCCAACAAGAGTGCAGACGTGAGACGCCATTGAAAAGACGACTGCACCGTCGAAATGGGCAACAGCCAGGGCAAGCCCATCGACTTGGATGGCGAAGGTATGTCTCGAACACCTCCCCTCGCTGGATTCATTGCATAGCACAACGAACACGGGAAACCACCATAACCAACACCAACCACCACCTACACACACATATACACACACAAACAACACATTCGCCATCAACACCACTAGCACCACCAAGAGAACACATTGGCTGCCTGCTGCTGCTGTTGCTTCTGCATCTGCATTGCACCGCGCAGTCTTGTGCTCCATCTCGCCTCTTCCCTCTCCCCCCACCATCACCACCACCGCCGCCGCCATAGCTACCTCAATTGCTCCATCTCCCGTTGCCAAGCTAATCATCATCCTTCCCGCCATTTAGTCAACCTCAACCATTTCCGGTTGCTGCGAGTAGTCGGTCGAGGTGCTTTTGGAAAAGTGCGCATCGTCGAGAGAAAAGACACCAATTTGTCTTTTGCCCTGAAATACATCCGGAAAGATGAAGGTACACACCGCCTCACTGCTCCCCCGCCTCGACGTGTCTACCCAACCCAAACGCGATGTACAACCTCCATCCAATGTTTTCCATACTGATATCGAGCCTTATGGAAATAGTCGTACGATCCGAAAGTGTGCGGAACATCATACGAGAGCGCCGGATGCTCGAGCACGTGAACCATCCGTTCATTTGCAACTTGCGATACAGTTTCCAAGATATCGAATACATGTGGGACCAACCTTTAACCGGCTATGCTTGATGCATCCAACTGACATCAATTGTGCAGGTACCTGGTAGTCGATCTGATGAGCGGAGGCGACCTACGATTTCACATCTCGAGAAAGACCTTCACCGAAGACGCAGTGCGGTTCTGGATTGCCGAATTGGGATGTGCACTCCGCTACATTCACAGCCAAAACATTATCCATCGCGATGTGAAGCCCGACAATGTCCTGCTCGATGCCGATGGACACGTGCATTTGACCGACTTTGTAAGTTTTGACGGAAACATTTCTTGGCACGCCCAAATGCTGATCGAGTCAGAACGTCGCCTCCGATATCATTCCCGGCAAGGTTTTGTCAAGCAAATCCGGTACCTTGGCCTATCTCGCTCCCGAAGTGTACGCTGGTAAGGGCTACGACGCTCGTGCAGATTGGTGGTCGCTGGGTGTGCTATTCTACGAATGCATATACAACAAGGTGGGTCAATTTCTCTTGGGCGAGATGCACCGCTGGCACGATGACTGACAGCTTCCCACAGAGGCCATTCGACGGCAACTCGGAGAATACCCTAAGCCAGCAAATCCAACTCGCCAACCCGAAATACCCCATCACTTCGCCACCCGTCAGCCTGCCCTGTTTATACGCCATCCGCGATGCCTTGGACTCGAACCGTGACCAACGAATGGGTGTGACGTGGGAGAGCTTTACCAAGCACGAATTCTTCATGATGATCGATTTTGAGGCGCTGGAGCGGAAAGAGATTGAGCCGGTCTTCGTTCCGGCCGCGGATAAGACAAACTTTGATGCTACGTACGACCTCGAGGAATTGCTCTTGGAGGAGGCTCCTCTGGAAGCGCGGGCCCGACGACAGAAGCCCCGCGAGCGGTTAAAGGAGGACGCTTCAGACAAGGAGATCCGCGAAGACGAGCTTTACCGTATGATTGAAAACGACTTCCGCCCATTCGATTACACGCTGGCTGCGTACAAGAAGTAAGCTTTGGGAATTTTCAAGAGGAACTGCACACGTGCTAATTGTAGTAGAATCACCGGCCAAGGTGACGAGACCGGATACGTCAATGGCGATATGGTAAACATGAACCAACCCCAGGCGTTGACCACCGACGAGGCCACACCGGCAGCAATGGCTACGAATGGAGGAAGACCTATGCCACCCCCGGGACCATTACGGAAGAGTTCAAGCCTGGAGAGACGACCGGGCAGCAGTCAATCGGGCGTTCCCCGTCGACCAGTATCCAAGCCGCCTCCGATACCGCATTATCCCAGCGAATATTCTAGTCAACGAGCGGCACCGCCAGCTGCAGGAAAGAGGGTCACCAGCCCGACAGGTGGCATGCAGGTTACGTTGGACGGTGGCGGCAGCTGGTCTGACCTCGCCCGGCAGGATGCCACGCTGCCGACAGACGCCGCCATCAACGAGGGCAAATCTGAAAGCTCGAGCGGCGTATTTGGTTTCCTTAGGGGCAAGAAGGGAAGAGGTCACAGCCCCAAGCCGAAGGAGAGGGGAGTGTTGGGCAAAGAGGGGGCAAGACAAGTCATTGGATAGAAGACACTCGTGGTCTTGGGAAGAGTTGGAAAGACGCACAGGGAGCGGTGATGGATCGATACCCGAGGAATTCAGCAAAACACGAAGGAATCGCCGAACCACGCCTACCCGAAGACGCACTGTGAAAGGCCTGAGAAGATGACGGCTAGATCGTGGCATCCCAGCAACCGAATCTAGAGCCAGTGTACCTACCATTGGAAGGGTTGCACTGTAGAGGTTTCATTGGGAACAGACTGCGACGCCGAGGCGGGCAGAGGTTGCACGAGGCAGGCCCAGGTTGTCTCGCAAGAAAAATTGTGAGGCCGTCACCGACCAGGAAAGACGATGGCAGTCGGCATGCTTTTCACGACAGCTAGGATCCATTCGTCAAGGTCGTGGCCCGAGGAGATGGGAATGGAAGCCTAGGCCGGTATTTTCACCTACCTAATGGCAGAATCTAGAAGGAGGGATTCCAACGGGGCAATAACCAATTCACGAAGCATCAGGTGGGGCGTAGTGTGAACTAGCGGAGAGAAATAGGTCAGACCATCAAGAATATACCCTTTGTAATAACAGTCTACTTTGTACATGCGTTGCGGGGGAGGCTTGCTCGTGGGTTGGTGTTGTATTGTGTTGTGCATGAACCTCGAGCCTCGATCTTCAAAGACTGCGTGGCTGTCGCCCCAATGACCCAAAGGTCCGGAGCCTCTTTTCCTCTCTGCCAGCGTCACTCTTGGTTTGGATCCGTACCTTGAGAGGCAATGGGTGTCGTTGAGGCTGGCAGCTCAAAGACGGGGGTGGATTGGATGACGTTGGACAATTGGAGCAAGTGTAGCCCCGGTCCCCGAGCTCGTCATTGGCCGTCTGCATGCTGCAACCGGTAGTCGGTCCTTGGGGGGGGGATTTTGCAGATCCTCCTTCTCCTTGTCCTCCTCCTCCTTCTCCTCCTCCTCCTTCTCCTCCTCCTCCTCCTCTTTGCCTCCCACACACACGACAACGGCACCCCCTCTTTTTCCCAGGTAACAAACCAAGGTTTCTTTCGGATTTCCTTTTTCTGATGGCCACGCGCAGACGGTGACAGGCCAACCCGGAGGACTGGACCTGCTGGGCCAGGACGCATGGCATCCCCACGGCAGAGTGACACTTGCCCCCCCCTCTCTTTCCCTTCTTGATGGAGATGGGATGCCCACGATGCATGGATGCACGACTCACCTGTGCTTTTTCCCAAATGCCGAGGGGATGCCGTCTTGGCGGCCGACGGGGCGGACTGTAAACCAGACTATCTACGGATACAGACAGACTACAGGGGGGGACACGGAGGCACGGAGGCACGGAGGCATGGGGGTGGAAGGGGAGGAAGCGCCAGCTCGGTGCGGTATGGTATCAGTTGCATACATAGTAGACGATGGATGACTTGACAGCGAGGTGCAGGGGGGGTTTTTGGGGGGTCCAGGGGCAATTGACAGATGAAAGGTGATGGTTGAGGAGAGTGGGTGGCGGTTTGGTGGTAGGAAAGGACCCGATAGCTCCTACCTAGCTTCTGTATCCGTAGCTGAAGCTCAAGTTCCCTCATTTGAGTGAGGGCTTGCCTGATAGGATGGGATAGTTTACTGTCACTGTGTTTGGTGGCTGTCCAAGCAGCAACCCTCGAATGCATGCTGTCTTGATACATTGTGAGTGGTGTTTACCAGCAGCACCAAGTTACATTTGGATAAAGTACGTTTTCTCCCTCGTCCTCTTTTTCAGGACTGCCCCAGATGCGGGGGTTTCCGTTTGTTATCGGGCCTGGGGTACGGATATTGCCCAAGAGATAAACCCCATGCCGCTGCCAGGCATTTACACGGATATACGTAGCGTACCACGATAGCTTACCATGGCGTGCGGGCGTCCCATACACTACCGGGATAGACTATCGAATATCTGAGCCAGACTTGCGCAAAAACCCAGGTCAACAGGCTGAGAGTACGAAGTATTAGGATATAAATCCATGAACCAGGGCAGACATATGGAAAGCAGTATATGCTGACGCTAAGCAGGCCTTCCTGGCTCGGTGAGCTTACTCTTTACGATCGTTTTGATAACTGAAGCTGAGGTTGAAGCATGAGTGGTGGCAAAGGAGAAGGAAAAGGTGCTCTGTATCACGGCATCCTCCGTGACTCCGAACCGATATGCTGTACATCGTACACCGTACACCGCTCATCCATCCATCCATATCCCCTTCCGTCCTTCTTTTCTTCTTACCCCCCGTGCCCCCTTGGCCTGGCCCCTTGCATGTGATGGTCTGCTTTCCCCGAGCTATTCCTGCAGTCCTGCAAAGGGCGGGGGACGGGTGGGATAGAGGGGGGTGGAGAAGGACGGGCATCAGAGACGGGGAGAGGGGATAAACCTAAAAGCACCACGTGCCGTTCTTACCATTTTGCCTTCCTACATCACCCCATCGGACCATGACACCATTTAAACGTGCTTGCGCACGCAAGTACGGTGGCAATGGGGGGCTACGCATGGTGAAGTAGCTATCTCAACTTACCATTGTCCATCTACCCTAACTTCTTCATGCCGTATTCTCTTGCGCGCCCTTCCCCCCCCGCCCCCGCAAACCAAAACCTCTGCGGGAGAGGACGGGATGAGTGGGTGAAAAGACAAGGCGAGGGGGGGCCAAGCTTGAGGGAAGAGGTAAACCGAGGAGAGATATAGAGAGGTCTTTGCAATCTTGCAGCTTGATCGAGGCCTCTACCCTGTCCCGTACCTTACCCGGTCGATCCAACTTTTCGTTTCAATGTCCCAAGTTATCCGTCCCTCCAAGGACATGACATGACATTACATACATTGACCGGATACAAGAGTCATTGTTTCCAGGAAACCCCCCATCACCGGGGGGGAGATAGGGCGGAATAGAGGGGGGGAACCTGATGAGACGAAAAAAAAAAAAAAAAAGACAACAGCCACAGAATGGTCCTTGCTCACAAAGGCGGACGGGAATTCAGGGCTGGCTACACCTATCTACCTTACCTAGGCACGATAGGTAGGTCAAGGTAGTGGCACTGGTGTTTGAACTGCCCAGGGCATCACCGTCCGCCGTCCTTCGGGCTTTGCTTTCTGCTTCGGTCTGCCACCTTTGCCTGCCGCATAGTGTTCCCCGAGGTCCCCTTTTATATCTTATTGACTTTGCCTGCCCGCCTCGATTGCGCGCCCGCTCTTCGGATGCGGGAAAGACGGATGCGGGCGGACGGACGGGTGCAGGGGTTTTATTTTCTCTCTCGTTCCATTCGGCAGGCAACATACGCCGCAATGGTTCGGTTTTCTTTGAAAAGCATGTCCGGGGGACCTGGGGGTTTGATGATAAGAAGTAAGTGATGAAGGAAAGGGCAGAAAAAGCATGGCTGTTAAAATACCATGTTGACTGAGATATCCATGTCACCTCCCAACCCACCCTTGATAAGGTAGGTAAAGGTAGACAGACCATGTACATTCATGTACCTTAACTAGAGCTAGAGCAGCGCTTCCCGTACCTACTTCTCAACCCACTCACTGTACCTACCCTAGGTTGCCCGTAGGATTTGATTGTAACCCAGACTTACGAAGCTGGCAGCATGCACCCCAGCTTCTCCTTCCTCTGCGGCCGGGATTAAAGATACGGCATCCCCCTTCCCCCTTCCCGGAACACCTACCTAGGTCCCACAACAACGCCCGGCACCTCCGTCTCTGTTCGCCCGCGTCCGAAGGCCGAGGTCCGAGCCTTGAGAGAGTTGACAGAGTTGCGAGCCTTGGCAGTGTTGCGAGGTTGCGCTTCAGAGTCATGAACATCTCTCTCTCTCTCTCTCTACACGATTCAGCATTGCACATCGACGGACGGACGGACATACGGACTCAGTGTCGCCCGGGACGGGTCTCCTACCATTGAGCAAGTATCTTACTTTTTAGGGTTGTTTGAAACACAGCGATAGCCCTCTTCAGCAACGATACCTTACACGGAAATATATAAACACAATGTGGAGATTCTCTTATTCGTTCGTCATTGTCGAACCAAACTAGCCGAATACTGTAGCAAAAGAATTACATCTGCAGAAAACCAAAAGTTCCTTCTTTCTTGTCGAAAAAGACAGCCAATTGAGCTTGCCTGGAATTTCATCATCATAGCCTCCTTACCCATTCTCAATCTCTCTCTCGGGAGAAGTCTCCAGCCAGGTAGAGTGCAGACTGGTGTCCGCGTTGCTACCTGACCAGATCTCCCCCCGGCCATATCTAGATGTCCGATGTGGATGAATAAAACCATTCGCCTTTGCCGTTGGGGGTCAAAACTTCAGCCTCGAGTTTGCCCTTTGTTTTTGGTCCGTGATTAAACGCCTGCTTTTCCCCAAAGTGTCCCATCCGTTTCCTCAGATATGCCTCCTGATGTGGCCGCCTGACCTATTGCGGGGTTCATGTATGCCAATATACAATTAGACGTCGAGATGATGGCCTAGGCCTTTGCCTGGTTCTTTGCCTGGTTCTTCTCCTGGTTCGAGAAGCAGGCAGCAGCGTCCTTGCCCATCCACTTGTTGACGACAGTCTGGAAGTCTGTTTCGGAAACCACAGGACCTTGACCTGAACACTTGGCCTTCTTCTGCAACTCGGAGCACAGGCCGTCGAGATCGAACTCGCCAGCCTGCACACTGGGGCAGGTTTGCAGCTTCTCCCTGTTGAAATTGTCAGTGTCTGATTCGTGACTGCGAGGTAGCAGTGTATCGTACCAAATCTTGTTGCAGTTGTAATTCTCGGCCTTGACAGCCTCCTTAACAACATCATCATCCGCGTTCTTGGCAGCGTCAATTTGGTCGATGAGATTCTTTTTGGGAGCATTAGGGCTGGGAGCCATGTTGTATGGTGTAATGAAGTCAGCATCGAGAGCGTCATTGAAGAAGCTTTCATCGAAGGTCGTTGCAGCAAGAATGTTTTCTTGCGGTTCACGGTATCCGCCAAAGAGCTGGGGATCAAACTGGCCACCGTTCTGCTGGGCAAGCCAGTCGATGTTGTTCGTATCG